TTGTAGCTCCCAACAAAATCAATATATTTATTCCTTTGCTCAATTCTACAATACACATAAACTTGTTTCAGAATTACTACACCCATACAACTATTAACAATAAATCTACTAACCTATTAAGTCAAATTTAGGTTTTCTTTGCATTTTTTTGTTCTTTTACTTTCAGACTGAGAGGAGTGAAATACTGTAGCTAAAAGTTACTTGGATTCTTTCTTTTCCACTTTTCTTTAATATGGTTGTTAGTCATTTGGTGTATAGTTAAGTGTATTTCCTTCTGTTTGTTTCCAACTTTGAAGTTAAAAAAAGTCTTTGTTGATTTAACTTTTGACATTTTAATTATTTTGTGCTTTGGTGTGGACCTCTCTGAGTTCATCTTTTTGGGGACTCTCTGTACTTCATTAATCTTATGTCTGTTTCTTTCACCAAGTTAGGGAAGTTGTTAACCGTTATTTTTTAAAATAGGTTTGCTGTTGCTTTCTCTTTTTCTTCTTTTTTTTTGAGACCTCTGTGATTTGAATGTTGATGTGTTGATGTTGTCTCAGAGGTTCCTTAATCTATCCTCATTTTTAAAATTATTTTTTTCTTTCTGCTGTTCTGATTAGGTGTTTTCTGCTATCTTGTCTTTCAAATTGCTGATTTGATACTCTGCTTCATTTACTCTGTTCTTGGTTCCATTTAATGTATTCTTCATTTCAGTTATTGTATTCTTAATTTCTGACTGGTTCTTTTTTATGTTTTCTATCTCACTGTTGAAGTTCTCACCAAGTTCATCTATGCTTCTCCTGGGTTCACTCAGCATCCTTAATAACAAATGTTTTGAACTCTTTATCTGATAGATTGCTTGTCTTTATTTCCTTTAGTTTTTTTTGCTGGGACTTTGTCATGGCCCCTTATTTTGGACATATTTCTCTGTATTCTCACTTTTTTTTTCTGTGTTTGTTTCTATAAGTTAGGCAATACAGCAACCTCTCCCAGTCTTGAAGGAGTGAACTTGTGCAGGAGCTACTTCTTTGTAGACAGCATGTGCTGGGTGTTTTGGCAGGCTAGCTGGAGCTAGAGCATGCATGAGCCACAGGGAAGCCTGGGAGGCAAGTCTTACTAGTGCCTAGAGCTGTAGCTGGAGTGAGGACAGGTCAAAGAAAGTCTGAGGGCAAGCTGCAGTGGGACTACCTTGGAAGACCCATTGGAGATGTAGCTGGAGTGGGCTCAGGCCTTGGATAGTCCTGGGGGCAAGCTACACTGGGATCTGGAGCTGAAGTTAGAGCAGGTGCAAGCCGCAGAGATTCCCGGAGGTAAGCTACTGGGGCTATAGTCAACATGGGTGTGGTCTGCAGGAGCTGTAACTAGGGTTGTTGCGAGCTGAGGGGAGTCCTGGGGATCAGTCACAAGGCTAGAAGCTAAAGCTGGAGCAGGCTTCAGGGAGATCTGTTTCTGTGTTGTCTCTCTTATTTGTTTTGCAGAAGTTCAGTTAGCTTTTAGTTCTTCTTCAGGGGGATTTGCTTTCTGTAGGTGTAAATTCCATGTGTTCCTGGCAGGATGTGAGTTCAGGGTCTTCCTTTGCCACCATCTTGTACTAGAAGCCCTTAATTAATCAATCAATTAATTAATTGTTTGATATTAGCCATCTAAAGTGTGTGAGGTGCTATGTCACTGTGGTTTTGATTTGCATTTCACTAATGATTAGTATTGTTGAGATATTGGCCAGAATGAAGCTTATGTTTTTAGCTAAAATGAGCTTAGAAAAGAAAAGTACAAGAAAATCTGATTTATAGTTTTGAAACCATATATAATTGTTTTTGGTTACAGAGTCATAATATTTTGTATTCAATGTTTTGGGGAAAATTTCTTCTTCAAACATTTCCTTGAATCAGGTTGAAAAATACTACATGTTCTCTGTAATGTTTCAGATTCATAAATCTCTCTATATATATCTGTATATCTATATCTATCTATATATCTGTGTCTATCTACCTATATATAGATAAATAGAGAGAGAGAGAGAGAGAGAGAGAGAGAGAGAGACAATCTTATCATTAAACAACTAAAAATGGCAATATAATACTTGTCCAGAGATGATCCAAATTAGCCTTCAGGGGAGTTACAGTTCTGCAGGACAGATATCATTCAGAAACTTGGGGAAAATTTCTCATGGCACAACTCAGTTGATTGACATTAACTTCCCCATTTGCAATAAGAGTATGCACAATGTTCTGCAGGGTTATTTTATTAATTGAAAAGAAAACGAAAATGTGTGAGAAAACTTATAGTCACTCCAAATCTGGCAATGGCCTGCTATACACATTCTCTGACATACTTAAAATGTCTGGGGAAATTTTAACTACCACTCTCCATGTGTGGGTTGGGAGTAGCAGCTCTGTCAAAATCTCCTTAAAGGTGACTCTTGAAATTCTTGGTCAGTTCATTGCACTCCTGCTGAGTCTAGGTTCAATTCATTCAATCACTCTTTTGTTCATGTAACAGACATTTAGTGAGAACTTAAGTGTCCAATCCACTGGACCAGGGTCTGGAACAGACACTAAGACTGGGCAATAGACAGACTTTCTTTTTTTTTCTTTTTTTAATTTAAAATGTATTTTATTTTATTGTTTTCATCATTAAAATGGAATAAAATTGTATTTTGGGACTTAGTTTGAATTAAATAATCTTATCACACTTTTTTTTTAGAAAAAGATTATTTTTTTATTGTTCAAGTACAGTTGTCTCCATTTCCCCCCTACCACTGCCCCCCCCACCTTACCCATCCCCCTTCCCAGCCTCACCCCTACCCCCTTTGGTTTTGTCCATGTGTCCTTTATATATATTCCTTGGTGACCCTCCCCTCCCCCCACTCGTTATCCTCTCCCCCCTCCCCTCTGGTTACTGTCAGTTTGTTCTATGTTTCAGTGTCTCTGGTTATATTTTGCTTGCTTGTTTGCTTTGATTAGATTCCACTTATAGGTGAGATCATATGGTATTTGTCTTTTACCACCTGGTTCATTTCACTTAGCATAGTAGCACAATTTACAATAGCCAAGTGCTAGAAGCAACCTAAGTGCCCATCAGTAAATGAATGGATAAAAAGACTATGGTACATTTATACAATGGAATACTACACAGCAGAAAGAAAAAAAGGAGTTCCTACTCTTTTCAGTAATAGCATGGATGGAACTAGAGAGCATTATGCTAAGTGGGTAGACTTTCTGGTGGGTTCACGTTCAGATGATAGGCCAGTGGTCTCCCCTTACTTGATCCAGGCTCTTCCTTCACTATGACTTTAATGAATTACTCAGAAACAGTGGGAGTTTATTTTATGCTGGAGTAGAATATAACATTGGCTGTTCATTAGAAGGAAGTATATACTATTGATGTGTGAAGAGAGAGCAAGCAGGAGCTGGCAAGGCACTTGCATGAGACAAAGGATAAGGAAGAGCAATGATCAACACATCTTCCTGTGAGACAGGTACTTATCCTTGCAAGGCCAAATGATTGAAAAAGTTTGAATTGATGAAGTTGTGTTTTGAAATGTGGTGGTGTAAATGGATTCCTTATAAACCTTAATTAAATACCCATTCTTTGTCCAATACTATTTTATGTATAGTGGGGGTGCCAAAGAAATAGAGTATGTGGTACAGTACCTCAGAGAGAGCATGTCTTCCTCCATCAAACAGAGAACACAGAATTTTGCCCACTTTGCCATACTGATAGCTATTCCTGGCCAGGAGTCCCTCCTTCAGAACATTCTAGCTGCTGTGTGAGCCTAATCAGACCACAATCACCAGGGACAAATATATAGCAAGAGAAAGTTAGGATAACTGGCTCCTTGTATTGAGAGAGACTGCATACCAGTGATACCCAGAAGCATCTCATAAATTAAAATGCGATATATGAAGTTATTATAGGATTTCGTGAGGAGTAGAGTTTAAGTCAAATTTAAAAGAAACAGTATTTTGCTAGGCTCAAAGCAAAAATGGGCTGTGTGTAAAGAGACCAACATCAGGCTGAACTGCAAAGTGGGCCCAGGGGCCTCTTTCCTTGGAACTGATACAGTTAAGATAGATTATGAACTGTGTCCAGAAATACATCATCTGTACCTTGGTTGGAAATAAAGTCTCTTCTCTGTGTCAAATTCATATCGGTCATCCAGACAAGAGTAGGATGTTTCATTCTTATTGATAGGATTTTAAATAGGGAATTTTCTGACAGTGATTTTAGAGAACAAAGGTTTAAGTAAGAAAGTTTTAAGTGGTCAAAGGGACTGTGATGATACTTCACAGCTGCAGCCTGAGTTTGGGGGAAATACTGTTTCCTTTAACTTTGCAGCTGGTTTTATTTCACTGGGTCTTATCTGTTATCTGTTAAAAAAACAGAAAACATGCTCAAAATGGAATGGCTTATGCTAAGCCTTATGTCACCAAAGACTTAATTACATTTCATCTCTACCAGAATTGGACTCTTAAACTAGTCAATCAGGAATTTCTTAATCAGCACTAGTTAGGTAATCTGCTTGATAGACCCTCACCACCCCCTAAAGGAAAGTAACTGCAATACTTTTTTGGCAGTATAATTTCCTTGTGCCTGTTCCCTTTTGCCTATATAAGAATTTTATTTTGCATAGCTCTTTTTTATCTGCTACATTGGATGCTGCCTGATTCGAATAGACATTTGCTTAAGTAAAGACATAACATTTTTTTTAACATGGCTCAGTTTATCTTTTAACATGTCCCAGTGTAACAAATGGCTAGTCTGATTTTTACTTGTTCTAAGGGATATTTTGCTTTCTTACTGCAAATTCACCACATAACACAGGTTTGGCTCTGTTAACTCGATTATAGACTCTGGACAATCATAGGCATTGGACAATTTTTTCTTTGAAAAGTGGAAATGATACAGAAACCTTAAAGTCAAGGGTTTGTTCTGCCAGGCCCCTCCCTTCCTTCCACACACACTTTTGTTTCTTTGTCCAGCTCCCAAGGTGTCCAAAGGTCGTGCTCAGGGGTGAGAAACAAAAGAACCAGTAAAGTCCTTCGTGCTTTAAATCAAATTCCACGTGTCCTTCCGGAGGCTGCTGGTTGGGAGCTCTAGCTTGGGAGAAAGAGGGCGTGATGCTTGAATTGATTGGTTTAGCCGCCTTGCCAGTGTCCTCCGTTTGGGGATATCTGTGGCGTGTCGAGAAGCCAAGTCGCCAAACCACACTCCAAGCCACTATTCTTCCAGATGCAACTGCCCAAACAAACGACGTCCGGCAGGCGGGCCTGGACTCCGGCCGGTCCCACGGTTCCTTCAGCCCCGCCCCTGCCCGTGTCGGGAGCGCGGCTCCTGACCCCGCCCCTGCATGGCGCTCCGGAAACTGGCTGCTAGCGGGACCTGCCCTCCCGCCAGGCCTGGTAGGGGCGGAACCCGGCCTGCGGCTGCTAGGACCCGAGCGGCGCGAGGTGAGCCTCCGTCCAGAAGTCCGCAGTTCTCGGCCATGGCTATTCCCGCACGCACTTTCTCCTCGCTTCGCAGCTACCTGGGCCGAGTCCCGGGGCTGGGCGGGGGCGCAGCGTCGCTCGTGGGGGCCCAGGGAGCGGCCGGCCCCACGTTCCGGGGCTTTCAGAGCAGCGGAGTGAGGTAAGAGGTCTATCGGACGCCTAGTCTCCTTGGATCTGGGTGCTCGAGGTGTGAAGCAAATGCCTGTGGGAGGGGCGGCGGGGGTGCGAGCTCTTGGCGCGAGCTGCGCCTGGGCGCGTGAAGTTCAAGGCTCCGGGGTAGCCCTGCGGCGCGGCGGGGTGCGGCAGGGGCGAGGCCTCCCTCGGCTCCGAGCTCGGCCTCCCTCGGCTCCGAGCTCGGCCTAGTGGACCACGCAGGCGGGTCCTGTTGGCCCGGAGTCGGGCAACCTGGACGTGCTGGGCCCTGGGCTCCGGGTCCAAAATGTTCCTTCTTCGAAGTTGGTGCAGTTGAGTGATTTATGAAGATATGTGAGTTCCTCGGGAAAAGTGCCATAAAAACTCGTGGTCTACTTGTTTCACACATTTTTTTTTTCATCTGTTACTGTGATTCGTAAACAAAGGGGTGGGCGTTGTTTCAGATGATTTATTAACATTTGAATGGCTAAATTCCTTTGTTGGTGGTAATACTGAGTGAGATCTTTTCCAGCTTTAAAATTCTTAATGATTTTATAAAATCAGACATTAGTCTTGATTTCTCGGTCTTTTTCTATGTGGCACTACCGAACCTCTTCAGCCTAAAATTGAAGTGATGAATCTTGTATTCGCTGCCTGTGTTTGTACCTCGTTGTTGACTAGTGCATTGGAAATACGGAACAGTGCGGTTCCAACTCTTCTACATGAGGGTGCCCCAGAAGTGACTTGGGCGTACTTGCAAACTCAAACCTAATAAGCTAAAAATATATTCCCTTGACCCAAAGCCAGTGAGTTCAGAAGAGATTCTGTTTCCAGACTTTCAGGGCTTCCAGTAATGTGCTTTCACTGCCGTTTTACGTGGCCAGAGATGGTGTCTAATCTTTTTGTATCAGCAATGCGCAGCACAATAGAAAGTAATTGACAGTAATGTGGAAATATACCTACTGCTTATTGAATTTAAATTGATTAACTCCCTATTGTATGCATTTTACCTTAGCCTTGAGTAATTGAAATAAAAATTATTTCCCATAGGGTTTACTTGGGATGACGTTTTTAGTGGCTAGGCCTTCTACAAGAATATGTGAGAAAGTAACTGTTAGAGTTCTGGTTGTGTAAGCTCGCGTGCTGTCGGGGAGAATTTGCCAGTTGGTTTGGAATTATCAACTTTATTACCTAGGAAAAGGAGATTCTGTAGCATTCTATTATTGGTACTGCAAAATAGAAGGAATTATCTACTATAGTTATTTCAGCTATTTATTTAGTTTTTTAAAATTTGTGTTGTTTTAGGGTTTCTTTCCAGGGTGAAGATAACTTTTTTCAAAGTGTGTATGGATTAGTTTATCTTTGTCATCTTGATGTGAACACCCTGTCCTCTCCTCGCACAATGAATGAGTCACAACAGTAACAGCCCAAGGATTTGGTTGTAGCCAGTTGATTTGTCCTGGATGTGCCCCTCCCACGTGGATAAATCAGATATTTAAAAATTATATTTAATCGTCTCTTTATAATTTAAAATAGTTGAGTGAAGAAATTTTGGAAAGCTATTCTTAAAATAGATCAGAACTGTTACTTTTGGATCTAGCTGCCTTCAGCCTCATTTGATGCAGATTATAATTCTGTACATATAGATATTACTTTTGATTGTTTTAATTTTTTTAAGGCAGCACTAATTAAGTTAGACTAGGGTGGTGTTTTTGATAGCCCCTTGGCACTGAATACCATATATAAAGGTGAGGATGGCTGTAAGGTTGAGAAACCCCTGTGGACTGGTGGGTCTCTGGTGGGGAGGAATCCGGACAGTGTGTTGATGCTTATTGGTGTCTCTTTTCTCTTCTAGGACCAGCAGAGAGAAGAGATTCCATCTTCCAGAGGTCGCCACTGTCTGCCTCCCCACTGGTCCCCATCCGCAGTCATCATTTTTTTAACATAGTATAGTGACACATTAGTTGTCTAGGTCTTCATTGCGAATATCGTTTAAATCCGACATCATTCCTATTGGCTTATTTTCAGTAAGAATAACTTTTTCAGTAAGTTATTCTTACTGAAAATTGTCTCTGAGTATGATAAACTCTTCACCCAAAGATACTGAATGTTTTAAACGAATAGATTTATTATAAGTTTCTGAGCTACATAAAGGCTTAAATGAATGATGAAAATGTATTTTTGATTATTTTTTCATATTTTTAACTAACTAGATACCTGTAATCATGGAACATGTAAATAATATTTTAGTGGAGTTTTTTTTTTTGACAAGTGAAATTTCAAGTAATAATGTTTGACAGAATTTGAAAGTTATAAAATCTTGAAGTATCAACTTTTTTCTCAATGGTTTTTCCTTTAAGGTTTGCAGTGAGTTTTTCCTATTTACTCCTCAGAAATTAGATCTTATTAATTCAAAGAAAACATACTTCATGTCAACTAAATAAGTTCTTCTATTAGTTGAAGCTTATTGTTTCTTAAAACGAATTAACTAAACAGCCCAAAAGTTAAAAACTAAAAATCTCAATGACTAAATTTTTCCTCTTTTGCCTTGCCGTGTGAGGAGTTTACAGATCAAAGTGTCTGTGAGTTATAAACGTGATATGAGTCCAGCCCTGTGCTTTTCCGTGTAGTATAGTGGAGCTGGGCAGGAACCATCCCCTTTGGAGGGGGGGGTCACACACAGACCCCTCAACTGATACCAGGTTCCAAGCAGATCTGCAGGTGTCCTGCAGCAGGGGCTTCCCAAACCCTGCCTTAGGCCATCCCCCCGGACTCCTTTGCAGTAACTCAGTGTATATTCCACGTGTTTGTTCCGTGTTTATTTTGTGCTCAGTGATCCCTAAAGTCATGAATTTGGCAGAATTTTTTTCCTCCTGCTATGAGTTATTTGAGCATTTGTGAAATTTTGTGTGTTGGCCTACAGCCTTCTATGGATGCCTCACCTTTGTTTATGTCTCACTGCCAATGGCTCTGTAATTTCTACAGCTAGACTGACATTTTTTTAAAATCTTACATTTTTAGACTTAGTAAAAGACACTGGTTTATGTTGTTTAAATAGTAATGTCTTATAATGTAGGTAATTGAATTTAATAATTAAAAACCAAATTTTATCACTAAGCTTGTTCATTTTTCTTCAGATTCTCCCCTCTAGTACTCAATGTTTCTATCTATGTAGAAGAATTACTTCATTAAAGATCCTTTTATCCTCTTGTAAGGCTGAAGGACCTAGACTTTATTTAGGGTCGTTACTAAAGGTGATTTCCCGGAGGCTGAATCCAACCAGTATAGAGTTAGCCAAATGATTAGCAGAAGCAGTTTCTCAAAATCACATTTTGCTTTGTTGGCAAATACGATAGTGTGGTTTTCCCATCTTAATGCCTTACCTGTTCTAATGAAAATGAGCTGTGGTAGGTATCAGACTACAGTTTTGGTTTCTCAGCATTCTTATGCCATTTTCAATTTAGAACTTAAATGTTTTACCATCTAGTGCCTCATATCTTAGTTTTGTGTCTGTGTCCCAGCTGTTAGAGATAAAGTGCTCTGATTGTAATGTGTCCAAAATTAAGTTTTCTGATTAAAATGGATTAATAGATGATAAACAGATTAATATTAATCTCAGATTTTGTTACTCAGTCATGGGTTTAGTAATTAGCAGTTTCTTTAATGACTTGAATCTTTGTTTTTCAAATGCTTTGATGTTATATTATCTTTTCATGTCAATACCTTGATGGGATAATAAAAACAGTAATAATCTTCCATGGTCACATACTCATGGAATTGCATGGAGTTTAGTGAAGATTTTTGAAAATATTTTGGCTTAGGGATGATAAAGTTGTGGAGGGAGTTTTAAAGACATAGAAGCATGAAATTTGAACCATCAATGAGTGGGATAAATTATTGATTAGTAATAAATAAGATTGGCTATTAAGTTCAATTTAAAACAAACAAAATAAAACCCTCTAAAAGATAGAAAATGTCATGATCAGAACCAAATACAATTCAAATTGAATTAGTTTCAAAGAATTCAGGGTTGAATATTATCCAAGAAGGCTTATCCAGCTGCTCCACTTAATATTAATCATAAGCATTTTCTGTGTTGCCATTGTTTTGGTTAATGTTTTATTGGCTGCGTCATATTACATTAAGTCAGTTGGCTATAACTTCACCTAGTCATTTTGCTATGGTTCATTGTCTAGTCCTGGGAACATATGAAATAATTTAGTCTCAGATTCAGGTCATCTTGTCAACATATCATACCGCCCAGGTTTGTTCACTTAATGGTCTGAATTCTGCCTAGGTATAATTACTCTTGTTATGAATGTGCCTAGGACCTAAAAGACTATCCAGAGATTCATAATTCTAAAGTGGGGGCAAATATATACTTTAAAATAGATGACCCCCCACTTCCCCTTTTGGCTAGTTATGAGTAATTCTTCAAGGAATATCATCTTCTCTTTAATCCAGTTGTGCTGTTGAAAAATGAATTCTTACTCATATTTAATGAATCCTTACCCTGCTAAGCACTTGGCTGAGAGTTTTCACATACAGTATATCCTTTCATCCCCACAACAACTGAGGGAAGCAGACACTGTGCTGTTCCCAGTTAACACATTGGGAAATTGAGGTTTAGAGAAATTAAATAATTTGTCCAAGTTAACACAATAAATAAATAGTGAAGACAGGGCTTAAACATGCATGATCTACCCAGGGCTTTGCTCTACAAGCAATTTATGATTTTTGACACCACTATCACTCTTCCTCTTTTTGAAAACATATTTGGTAGAACTTTGGTGAATCAAGAAAGATACTTTTACATATAAATATTAAAAATTAAATTGTTAGATTCCCTTAATGCAAGGTGTTTTTTAACTCAGACTTCATGCATAGAATTTAGGGGATCCATAAGTTTAGATGGGAGGTCATTAATCTCTAATAGATTTAGCATTTTCTTTAATTGTGAATGTTGACAACAAACCATAGTAATATTAGCAGTACCTGTGAGATTGC